GATCTCTAGTCACCCTAACCCTGTCATTTGTTCAATAGAGTTTAACAAGTATGTGTATAGTTTAGAGTTTAACAAGAGGGGTTTAAATTTCCACAGCTACAGTCAGGCAACCAGGGAGGAATGCGCCAGAATATGCCCCCTTTTTGACTGGTGATGCAAGGGCAGAAATAATTCTTCATACATATTTTTTTCAAAAAAAGTAAGTGCACTTGTACCAACTCATCTATTTCGGATCTAATTTTCTCCATAACATGGGGGTTGGATGGCCGAATTGTTAGCATGTGCGCACTGTATCATAAAGCCTGTCATTGAGTCAACAGGCGTGGTTTCGAATCCCTGGTTGTACGTGACAAGGAGTAGGGTCGCCTGTACAACCTCGTGGGTTTTCTCCGGGTCCTCCCGTTTCCTCCCACTGCTAAAGACCCCTATGCTGAAGCGAATTATTAAAATAAAAAAATTAAACCATGTTAGTCCCGAAACGACATAGTTTGTGTCGAGTGGACGTTAAACCCCATTTCTCTCTCTCCATAACAACTTGGGTATGAGTACTGCACATTGTATTTCACCTCAATAATGGTGACACCTCTGGATCATATTAACACATTTTTAGATTTGTAAAGTTTTGTTAATTTAGGTGGAAAGGCTATGTCATGCATTTAGGAGAATATTTTCATCAGCTTGCATTTGCAAGAAAATGGGGAAAATGTTAAGATATGATCTGATACCCTTAACAAATTAACCAGACCTATTATTTTATTCTCTTTTTTTTTTTTTTGGCTGCTTGTTTCTAAACATCACTTTCTTCAACAAATTTTGGAATCGTGATAATGTTTCATACACAGTTTTGTTAACGTTGGTAACTTGGAATGTGAGAAGTAGTAGCCTCTACCATACCCCAGTGAGAGTTTTGTCTGCACATTCCTGCCTGGAGTTCTTGTCAAGCAAATAGGCATTTGTCTTCGACACAAGCCTGCCATTTCCATCTAATTTGATCCACTGGTTAGCACATACCTTAAACTTTTCCCAGCTTGTCGCAGTGAACGGTTTTAGCTCAGTGTTTTTAACAAAACGTTCACGAAGTATGCAGTTTTACTTTAGCTATCCTTCCGCCATGTACCGTTAATAACAAAACGTAAACAAAGAGCAGGTGACCTTTCACCACACGACCTATTGAACTTTTCGTCGTGTATGTTTGATTGGCCAATTATGTCACGTGATCTGTTTAAACCGAATCACCGCGAAATTCAAATACCATTGCACATTGACAAGTAAGCTCATATTTAATTTCATTTTCTATCAAACTTCAAAGAATTGATAAAAGAAAAGTTGTGTGACACTACAAAGTAATACTAGAAGAATTAGATGATGTAGTTTTTTTTCACCCGAAAATGGTCTGGACGGAGAAACAGAAGCAAGCTAGCTAGAAATTTGACACCACGCCTAAATCCGGTCGTTTATCCACTTCCAATAATTAATAATTACCTCATGTAACATGTATGTTTCACAAACTCAGGTCATGAGAAACTGATAATTAATTAACCGCAGCCTAAGGAAAATGAATGGCAAATAGGGAAAATGAATGGCGAATAACTCTTTGACATTCGAATGGCGAATATATAATGAAAATTAATAATAATCCTAACGCCAATTTCATACCGTACAGTGTATAAACATTATGTATGATAGAGACTTCTATATAATCATTAATGACAAATATTAAATTAAATAATTTCCCTTTAAAGAAATACTTTGTCTTCTTAAGCTTCATAGTGTTATTTGGTCTGGGAGAAAAATTCATATCATTCTAATCTCTAGCATGTATTTGATAATCATACTAATGATAGGCCTGGCGAGTATAAAATATGTCAAAACTATTTAGACCGACCAAATGTGGAAAAAAAAGCCGGGGTTGTGGTAGGCAACTGACTGTGTGGTGGTTTTCATGTTAAAAATATGACCGATGTCTAGGTCATATGTTATTTTATTATTTTTCATTTCTGTTTTAAATTTCAAATCTATATTTTAATTTTCATTAATGCTTGGTTAGTCATTAGAGGCAGGCAGCAATTAACCTGTCATTCAAATTATGACAGACTGGCAACTAAAGTGGTTAATCTGTTAAGTCTCATCTAACTATTGTTTTAAATGCCTTAAGTCTTAATCCTTCAATAATTATATGTTTATATTAACACTTTCTAAGTAACTGATTTGTATAAATAGACAAATGTATGTTAGATGAGGAGATTAGTTGGAGAGACCAGCTTAGGGAACATACTAGTTGGAGGTCCGATATATATGAAATTATAAGTTGTTAAATTGTTGCTGTTAATTATTGAAGATCCATTCCAAGAATCTGTATTCATTTCTGATACTTAGAGAACACACGTCGACAAGCTACATTCCCTGAAAGTCGAATGGTGTTATATGGTGGAGATGCCGGGTATAGTGAACAAAATTGTCTACTCTTGATTCCGGTACAGCTAAGCGAGATAAATTGTAAACATATTTGGAAGAAGAAAGGATGGATACCAACTTTATTCTTCCTTCAGCAGCAGTAGCAGCAATAAGAAATCTGAATCAACTACCAATGTCTTGGAGTCTCAAACAGGATAGGGGTTCTACAGAAATCAGCTTTAAATGGGGCTTCTCAGAAAATTCATTACCCAGTCCGGAAAAAAAATATCGTTCTTGCAAAAGACAAAGGGATAGACAGCGGCAGCTCAAATTTTTTGCTAAGAAGGATGCCCAAAAAGTACAGATTTCTGTGGTCTCCAGTAAAAAGGATGTGGGTGTCCAAAATGTTCCTGATACTAAAAATGTGGCTGTTGGGAAAAACCCTGTGTTTATGGTGACAAGAGAAACAATGTGTCATCCTGTCAATAGCCATGATAAAGGTTGTCAAATAAATTTTGACAGTGAGGCAGTGATGAAAGATGTTTCAAGTTCTAGTACCAAAACTACCATCAGTCAAGGCCATCAACATGTAGGAAGTTGTTCAACAAATCCACCTGTTCAAGTATCCGACAAAGTGCTTAGACAAGAGTTAAGAACACAAAACAAGAATATCTCATTCAGTGGAAGAATTGTCCAGCAACTTCGAATTCTTGGGTTCTGGAGGAGGAACTAGATTATAGTGCTCAACAATACATAAATGCGAATTCAAATAGAATACAAGGACCCAGGTTACGTTTACCTGATGAAAAAGTTAACCAGTACAATTTGCAAGAACATTATTTTATGCCTCACATGAATCCTATGTACAGAAACAGAAATTATTATCATGAAAAAAGGGATAGATTATGTTACTTTGATTAATTGAAAAATAAGGATTTTTGATTTTATTAAATGCTTAAAACATGGGGTCATGTTTTTGTTTGAAGTAAGGGGGATGTATGACCGATGTCTAGGTCATATGTTATTTTATTATTTTTCAATTCTGTTTTAAATTTCAAATCTATATTTTAATTTTCATTAATGCTTGGTTAGTCATTAGAGGCAGGAAGCAATTAACCTGTCAGTCAAATTATGACAGACTGGCAACTAAAGTGGTTGATCTGTTAAGTCTCATCTAACTATTGTTTTAAATGCCTTAAGTCTTAATCCTTCAATAATTATATGTTTATATCAACACTTTCTAAGTAACTGATTTGTATAAATAGACAAATGTAGGCCTATGTTAGATGAGGAGATTAGTTGGAGAGACCAGCTTAGGGAACATACTAGTTGGATTACATGTCATTTCGGTCCCGCGTCATTTCGGACTTACGTCATTTCGGACTCCAAAAAATATGTCCTCGACATTTCGGACTCTGGTAGGTGACGTTTCGGACTCGGTCAGGCGACTTTTCGGACTCGGACTGGCGACTTTTCGGACTCAATAAAATCTGAAAAATTCTATGTATATATTTGTAATAACTGGTTTTTCTTTTGTTTTAGGTGAGGCTGAAAACAGACCATTCACAATAATAAAGAAATTAAACATTGTTAGTTAGTTGAAGATCCATTCCAAGAATCTGTATTCATTTCTGATACTTAAGAGAACACACGTCGACGAGCTACATTCCCTGAAAGTCGAACGGTTTTAAAAATACAACAGCATAACCTTAGGCCTGCGTGTGCTTTTAAATAATTTCCCTTTAAAGGAGCTAAATCGCTAACATTTGGGACCTAGAAATTGACAAAAGTGGGTCGCAATGCATATAATACTGTAAGATGAATTATATAAACTGATTTACATTCAATGGTTTCCATTTTTACTCCAATTTCAAATCAGTTATGTTCGGCGAAATAAGCCAGCAGTCTCAAGCGAGTGCAAATTTCTAGCATCTGGTTATTCCAGTCTACATACGCCGTTTTATTTGGTGCAATGTGTCTAGCCTCGTCCCTCGAGTCTCTTGATACAACGGGGGCTGAAGCGCATTATGGTACACGATTCGTGTACCAATGGTAAAATGTTTATTTTGTCTTAAATATTGGATATCAAAAGCCCATCTTTTTCCAGTAAGATCACAACATGAATGTTGATTTAATTTGACAAATAAATCGTGTTTTCAATGTTGAATATTTTGGATGATAATGAGTTAGAGACTTAGCTCTGACAGCCTACTTTGTCTTCTTAAGCTTCATCTTCATCTGTCTTCATTAGCCCAGTTCGGAGCAAAACAGTAGGACGTTAAACCCCATTTCATTTCATTTCAATTCTTGAGCTTCATAGTGTTATTTGGTCTGGGAGAAAAATTCATATCATTCTAATCTCTAGCATGTATTTGATAATCATACTAATGATAGGCCTGGCGAGTATAAAATATGTCAAAACTATTTAGACCGACCAAATGTGGGAAAAAAAGCCGGGGTTGTGGTAGGCAACTGACTATGTGGTGGTTTTCATGTTAAAAATACAACAGCATAACCTTAGGCCTGCGTGTGCTTTTACATTTCACATTTTATGAATACATTATTAAAACTGAAAATAAAAGGATGTAAAATGTTGCTAAAATTACCTGGTATAGCCTGTATAGGCACATCATTTTCACTGAATCCTTTTGTCGCGAATGATTTCTTGACTTCAATACATGCTAAATCAAAGCAAATCCCGAACGGAATAAACATACATAGCCAATAAGCACAGATGCACTGAAAAACTGTCAGCCGCATGGCGGCCATTTTCTTTAAGAATGAGATACAAATTCTCCACTTATAAATAAAAAGCTCAGTGTATTATTCTTAACAGATTTAACAATTCTTCCAAAAATAAACTCAATCACGACCACCGCTGATAAAAGTCAACTTTCTTAGGCGACATTTTCTTACGTTACTTCCCCTTATTCCCTTTTTTGTCAGGCCAATGGAGGTAGGATCTGTGCCGATGAAACAATGTTTGTATTTCGCTGTTCCGTTATCCTCCTACGGATCACTAACTGAATCATAGCATTGGTGATTGTACCGTCAATATTTATATGGCAGTGTCAATTATTAATATCGTTATGTTTTACAATCCGAAGTTGAAAATAAAACTGCTTATTTTAATAGTACGGCTCAATTATGAGTAGCATCTACATGGGGAGTAAATTATATCAGTCGAGACGGTCTGCTAGCCTTGATTACAATACTTGAGCGAGTCGACCCTAAGTCCAAATCAAATAGTCAGTCGAATAAACCGGTCGATGGCTTATTAAAATTTTGGAATCGTTTGTAATCAGTATAAGTTAAAGAAAAAACGCACTAATTCCAATATCTTTTATCATTGTTTTTGTTTATTTTTTACGTCCCCTCATGTTCAAATTTGATTGTTCAAATTAAAACTTTAAGGTGTTATTGCCACCGCGGCTTAATAAAGTCATGCTTTACTTTTTCCCTCATCCCCATATGCCCCCATCTTTTAAGTGCACGCCAATGTGTACACGGGACCTCGGGTTTTCGTCCCATCCGAACGACTAGACATCTGTCCTTGTCCACCTCCAAAAGAGTATAGAGTCCCTATATATGATATGTTGGGTTAGGGGGGCATATGGGGATAAGGTATTTGACATTATCATGTGGCCTCGTCCAGTCAATAAAATCAGTCAGTTAGTTCAGTCGATAACATCAGTAAGTTAGTTCATGCTCGTCCCATCCGAACGACTAGACAGCTGTCCTTGTCCGCCTCGAAAAGAATAGAGTCAATATATATGATATGAACATGGAAAGGGGATGCGATGGGGCGGGGTTGTGGGGGGGGGGGGGCGTGTCGGGATGAGGTATTTGACATTTTCATGTGGCCTCGTCCAGTCGATAAAATCAGTCAGTTAGTTCAGTCGAATAATCCAGTCGAAAAGTTCAGTCGAATACTTCAGTCCAATAATTCAGTCGAATAAACAAGTCGCTCAATATTAAGTAGCGGTGGCAGCGGGCTAAGATAATTAGTAGCAAATCATGCTCGTAGCCATAGCTGAAGGAGCCGGGGGCATGGGGTAGGGACCTGGGGGCTTCCCGACTAGTTTCAAGAAATGAAACGAAATGAAATGGGGTTTTAACGTCCTACTGTTCTGCTTGGAACTGTGCTAATGAAGACGGGCATACGCCATACACTGTGGGATGAGTGAAATTTTGCCCGGACAGCGGCACTACGGCATACTCTTATATCGAATTCCATCTGTCAAGGGATCTTTTACGTCCACGCCAATGTATACACGGGACCTCGGTTTTTCGTCCCATCCGAAAGACTAGACAGCTGTCCTTGACCGCCTCGAAAAGAATAGAGTCCCTATATATGATATGAACGAAGAAAGGGGATGGGGTGGGGCGGGGGTGTGGGGTGTGTGTGAGGTATTTGACATTTTCATGTGGCCTCGTCCAGTCGATAAAATCAGCCAGTTAGTTCAGTCGAATAATCCAGTCGAATAAACCAGTCGAATAATTCAGTCGAAAACTTCAGTCGAATAAACAAGTCGCTCAATATTAAGTAGCGGTGGCAGCGGGCTAAGATAATTAGTAGCAAATCATGCTCGTAGCCATAGCTGAAGGAGCCGGGGGCATGGGGTAGGGACCTGGGGGCTTCCCAACTAGTTTCAAGAAATGAAACGAAATGAAATGGGGTTTTAACGTCCTACTGTTCTGCTTGGAACTGGGCTAATGAAGACGGGCATACGCCATACACTGTGGGATGAGGGAAATTTTGCCCGGACAGCGGCACTACGGCATACTCTTATATCGAATTCCATCTGTCAAGGGATCTTTTACGTCCACGCCAATGTATACACGGGACCTTGGTTTTTCGTCCCATCCGAAAGACTATACAGCTGTCCTTGTCCGCCTCGAAAAGAATAGAATCCCTATATATGATATGAACGAAGAAAGGGGATGGGGTGGGGCGGGGGGTGTGGGGTGTGTGTGAGGTATTTGACATTTTCATGTGGCCACGTCCAGTCGATAAAATCAGCCAGTTAGTTCAGTCGAATAATCCAGTCGAATAAACCAGTCGAATAATTCAGTCGAGAAGTTCAGTCGAATAATTCAGTCGAATAAACAAGTCGCTCAATATTAAGCAGCGGTGGCAACGGGCTAAGATAATTAGTAGCAAATCATGCTCGTAGCTATAGCTGAAGGAGCCGGGGGTATGGGGTAGGGACCTGGGGGCTTCCCAACTAGTTTCAAGAAATGAAAAGAAATGAAATGGGGTTTTAACGTCCTACTGTTCTGCTTGGAACTGGGCTAATGAAGACGGGCACACGCCATACACTGTGGGATGAGGGAAATTTTGCCCGGACAGCGGCACTACGGCATACTCTTATATCGTATTCCATCTGTCAAGGGATCTTTTACGTCCACGCCAATGTATACACGGGACCTCGGTTTTTCGTCCCATCCGAAAGACTAGATAGCTGTCCATGACCGCCTCGAAAAGAATAGAGTCCCTATATATGATATGAACGAAGAAAGGGGATGGGGTGGGGCGGGGGGTGTGGGGTGTGTGTGAGGTATTTGACATTTTCATGTGGCCTCGTCCAGTCGATAAAATCAGCCAGTTAGTTCAGTCGAATAATCCAGTCGAATAAACCAGTCGAATAATTCAGTCGAGAAGTTCAGTCGAATACTTCAGTCGAATAATTCAGTCGAATAAACAAGTCGCTCAATATTAAGCAGCGGTCTAGCGGGCTAAGATAATATAGTAGCAAATCATGCTCGTAGCCATAGCTGAAGGAGCCGGGGGCATGGGGTAGGGACCGGGGGGCTTCCCAACTAGTTTCAAGAAATGAAAAGAAATGAAATGGGGTTTTAACGTCCTACTGTTCTGCTTGGAACTGGGCTAATGAAGACGGGCATACGCCATACACGTCCACGCGAATGTGTACACGGGACCTCGGTTTTTCATCCCATCCGAACGACTAGACAGCTGTCCTTGTCCGCCTCGAAAAGTATAGAATCCCTATATATGATATGAACGAAGAAAGGGGATGGGGTGGGGCGGGGGGGGGGGGGTATTTGACATTTTCATGTGGCCTCGTCCAGTCGATAAAATCAGTCAGTTAGTTCAGTCGAATAATCCAGTCGAATAAACCAGTCGAATAATTCAGTCGAGAAGTTCAGTCGAATACTTCAGTCGAATAGTTCAGTCGAATAATCCAGTCGAATAATTCAGTCGAATAAACAAGTCGGTCAATATTAAACAGCGGTGGCAGCGGGCTAAGATAATATAGTAGCAAATCATGCTCGTAGACATAGCTGAAGGAGCCGGGGCATGGGGTAGGGGCCGGGGGGCTTCCCAACTAGTTTCAAGAAATAAAAAGAAATGAAATGGGGTTTTAACGTCCTACTGTTCTGCTTGGAACTGGGCTAATGAAGACGGGCATACACCATACACTGTGCGATTATGGAAATTTTGCCCGGACAGCGGCACTACGGCATACTCTTATATCGAATTCCATCTGTCAAAGGATCTTTTACGTCCCGTCTTTCGGATGGGACGAAAAACCGAGGTCCCGTGTATACATTGGCGTGGACGTAAAAGATCCCTTGACAGATGGAATTCGATATAAGAGTATGCCGTAGTGCCGCTGTCCGGGCAAAATTTCCCTAATCGCATAGTGTATGACGTATGCCCGTCTTCATAAGCCCAGTTCCAAGCAGAACAGTAGGACGTTAAAACCCCCATTTCATTTCTTTTCATTTCTTGAAACTAGTTGGGAAGCCCCCCGGTCCCTACCCCATGCCTCGGCTCCTTCAGCTATGTCTACGAGCATGATTTGCTACTATATTATCTTAGCCCGCTGCCACCGCTGCTTAATATTGAGCGACTTGTTTATTCGACTGAACTATTCGACTGAAGTATTCGACTGAACTTTTCGACTGAATTATTCGACTGGTTTATTCGACTGGATTATTCGACTGAATTAACTGACTGATTTTATCGACTGGACGAGGCCACATGAAAATGTCAAATACCCCCCCCCCCGCCCCACCCCATCCCCTTTCTTCGTTCATATCATATATAGGGATTCTATTCTTTTCGAGGCGGACAAGGACAGCTGTCTAGTCGTTCGGATGGGATGAAAAACCGAGGTCCCGTGTACACATTCGCGTGGACGTAAAAGATCCTTTGACAGATGGAATTCGATATAAGAGTAGGCCGTAGTGCCGCTGTCCGGGCAAAATTTCCCTCATAGAAAAGTGTATGGCGTATGCCCGTCTTCATTAGCCCAGTTCCAAGCAGAACAGTAGGACGTTAAAACCCCATTTCATTTCTTTTCATTTCTTGAAACCGGTTGGGAAGCCCCCCGGTCCCTACCCCATGCCCCCGGCTCCTTCAGCTATGGCTACGAGCATGATTTGCTACTAATTATCTTAGCCCGCTGCCACCGCTGCTTAATATTGAGCGACTTGTTTATTCGACTGAATTATTCGACTGGATTATTCGACTGAACTATTCGACTGAAGTATTCGACTGAACTTTTCGACTGAATTATTCGACTGGTTTATTCGACTGGATTATTCGACTGAACTAACTGACTGATTTTATCGACTGGATGAGGCCACATGAAAATGTCAAATACCCCCCCCCCCCGCCCCACCCCATCCCCTTTCTTCGTTCATATCATATACAGGGACTCTATTCTTTTCGAGGCGGACAAGGGCAGCTGTCTAGTCTTTCGGATGGGACGAAAAACCGAGGTCCCGTGTATACATTGGCGTGGACGTAAAAGATCCCTTGACAGATGGAATTCGATATAAGAGTATGCCGTAGTGCCGCTGTCCGGGCAAAATTTCCCTCATCGCACAGTGTATGGCGTATGCCCGTCTTCATTAGCCCAGTTCCAAGCAGAACAGTAGGACGTTAAAACCCCATTTCATTTCTTGAAACTAGTTGGGAAGCCCCCCGGTCCCTACCCCATGCCCCCGGCTCCTTCAGCTATGGCTACGAGCATGATTTGCTACTATA